AGGGGAGCGGAGTGTGCCGTTTCTAAGGAAACACTAACAAATGTGAAGTCACGTCCTGTCGGGAGAAAAACTTCTCATCATCTCATCGTCTCATTTCTAACATTTACCTCATTTGGATTCAGATTTATGGGTTTAAACATCTGGAAATATTGCAATACTTCGGTGTATGTATATTTTCTTCTACCTCGAATCACAATAAACTCTATTTTAAGAAAATAAAATGGCACGAAAATTTACGAACAAATCTGTGCTCCTATGACTAAAAGTCACGATCTACGAGTCCTCTGGCCTCCAGGTGGCAGTCCTGAGCCCACTGCTGTAAAGTACAGTTCTGAAGGATCCGTGTCTCATCTAAAGGTTGTAATTTCAGTCCAGGTCAAAGCTCACTCCACTTCACTCCACTTCCTGTAAAGATCAGCGATCACTTCCTCTCCATCTCTGTGTGAGACGTTTGTTGTTTGTTGAGATGTTTGTCCTTCGGCCTCTTCAGACTCAGTCCTTTTTAAATAGACAAGTGCTCTCAGAGAAAAGCACAGCTCAAAGAATTTTAGAAAATATTGATCAGCTTCTCTCTGGTTAGTGTCCTGAATCTTTTCATTCGATTTCCAAGAAACCGAGGAAATCGAATCTGTTTCTGATCTGAGAAGAAAAAAAAAAAAAGAAAAAAGATTCTCCTGAGGATAACTATACTGTGAAGAAATTGTCATATCTGCAAGTCTTTGCAACCCACAGGAGGCACCATTAAGGATGATGCTCCTCTGGGACTCAAACCCACGACCTTCTGCCTGTAAGGCAGACGCTGTAGCTGCTACTCTACGGAGCCCTGCCTTGCTGTAGCTGCTACTCTACGGAGCCCTGGTTTCTGCTGCTGTTACAGCTCTGATTTCAGCAGGGACTTAAAAAAAAACCCTAAGATGTGAAGTACCGTCAACGGCCACCAGGACGGGACTAGAACACTGACCTGCGATGATGTAACATCAGATGTAACAGTAACATGCTGCTGTTACTGCAACTGCACATGTTTGTCTTTCTCACCGGTGAAACCCATTTGTGAATCTGAGCTCAGTGATTGGCTGTTGAACGGCTGTTGATTGGCTGTTGAAGGGCTGTTGAAGGGCTGTTGAAGGGCTCCGTTCTGCAGCGGCAGGTTTGTAGAACCATCTCGGTCTAATTCCTGTCTGTGACGCTGTAATGAGACGCGCTCAGACATTATCTTGATTAAAATCAATCCCTATTGGATTACTCTGCTACATTCCCTCAGTGATGTGAGGAAAAAAATAAAGTGGGGGGGGGGAACGTGCACCAAGGACTTTGACAGTTAATCCCTGAACTTCACTTCTCCCTCTGAGGACGGGGGTGTGTTACAGCTCAACAGGTTTCATACTTCACTGTATTCACCCACCAGTGGGGGGTGAGGGGGGGGGGGTTATACTTTTCTTTTGAAGCTCAGCCTCAGTACTGAGACCAGGAAGATTAAAAAAGAGGGGGGGGGG